AAATTGCTTAAGTCTGTTTTTGCAAAAAAAAAAAAAAAAAAGAAAAAAAAAACAACCCTTTAATGAAAATTACTAAGTTTACAAAATCAAGAATAATATGTCTATACATGAATGAAGAACACAATTTAAGCATACGAGTTATTATTATCAAGGTTTAAAGGTTGAGAAAGAAAGAAAAAATGTGTAAAGATAAGTCCACTACAAAAGCATATATAAACAGATTAATGTCATGTCTGTTTGATTCCTTTCTAAACATTAATCTTTTCGAAAAAAAGATAATTCTGTCTGGTTTTCTCTCTACTGCTTGTAGGCGGATACAACCCCGACAAAATATGAGATGGGTCAGCTTCCCTTCTTCGCCATTGATCTCTTTTTCAAGCTCTTTCTCATCTATTTTTCTTTTTCCCTTGTAGTCTCTAAGATCTCCATCTTAACCGAAAGAAGGATCAGTAGAACCAAATATGATACCATCGACATATATTTGCACTAATAACATATGATTTTCTTTAATTTTAATAAAAGAGTAGTGTCTAGTTTATCCGTCTTAAAATCATTTCCAATAAGAAAATTACTAAGTCTATCGTACCAAGCTATTGAGTTTGTTTTAAGTAGACCTGAGGTGGAAAATCAAAATTTTCGAACTCGAGAGGTTATTAATACATAAACTTCCTCCCTAATATAATCAATTAATAATGCACTTTTCACATCCATTTGATACCATATAAAATTTTTGTGAGAAGCAAAAACAAGTAACATTCTTTATTTCTGATTATATTCTCATTTTCATCCATTATATTTTTAAAAAACTCATTTGTTCAAATAATGGAAATATTAAAGGGTCTCGGGACTAATTCCCAAACTTTGTTCCTCTCAAATTGATTGAGTTCTTCTTGCATAGCTAAAATCCAAAACTCATCCTTGCATCCACAGACTTTTTGGTTCAATTTGAGAAACAAAAGCAACATTATTAAATAAATTAATAGAATAACGAGTTTTCACACCTTGTTTTGTTCGAAATCACCAATAATCAAGTACTGGGATGAGATAAGGCCTCCATTCTTTTGGCACGGATGAATAACCTTCTCCCTTCCAAATAATCCATTATTTGCAATAAAAAATTTTGAAATAACAGATATTTTTAATTTTATTATGCCAAAGTTCACAAGGAGTTTTATCTTGTGTCTAATTAAAACTCTATTTCAAACATAACAGGGTGTATTAATGGCTTCGGCACAAAAATATTTAGGTAAATCATACTCATTTAACATTCATGTAGAAAAGTACGATTTTTCCTTTTAATCACACCTTGGAGAGGAGAAGTCGTGATAAAAACCATTATCTCCACAAAAATTTTCAAATGCTAAGCTATCAAATTCTCCTCCATGGTCCACTCCTAGACTAGCAAATGTTTCAAAACATCATTCTTATGTTTTTTTTTTTATCAAAAAGCTGAGTAAATGGCTAACTAGCTATTTTAGAAGGCCAAATAATATAATAGTTGAAGAGGTCCAGTGTTAGAAATCAAATTTTTAGATGTGAAGGACTTTGTTTAATTACCCATTTGACAAGGATCACAAATTTTATATTTTTCAAATTTAAATTTAGGAATGTCTCTTACTCATGAATTTTTTTGAGATATTTGAAATCAAATAAATACTAAGCCGTAAACGATGGATACTAGGCGCTGTGCGTATCGACCTGTGCAGTGCTGTAGCTAACGCGTTAAGTATCCCGCCTGGGGAGTACGTTCGCAAGAATGAAACTCAAAGGAATTGACGGGGGCTCGCACAAGCGGTGGAGCATGTGGTTTAATTCGATGCAAAGCGAAGAACCCTACCAGGGCTTGACATGCCACGAATCCTCTTGAAAGAGAGGGGTGCCTTCGGGAATGCGGACATAGGTGGTGCATGGCTGTCGTCAGCTCGTGTTGTAAGGTGTTGGGTTAAGTCCCGCAATGAGCGCAACCCTCGTGTTTAGTTGCCAACCGTTGAGGTTGGAACGCTGAGCAGACTGCCGGTGATAAGCCGGAGGAAGGTGAGGATGACGTTAAGTCATCATGCCCCTTAATGTACAATAGGAACCCTGAGCAGACTAGCATGTCCTAATCTCCATAGCCAAGAGTTATCATGCAAAGCTCGAAACATTTATCATTTAAATCAATAATGTACACATTATCATCTCTATTTCCAACAAACAACACTTTTCTATCTCTTAACATTTTCAATTATACAATTATTTTTTATCAAATATAACTCTAAAACCTTAATTGACTAATGTTAGGTAAGTCATGCTTAAACCATCAACTAAAAGTACATTTTCAATGAGAGTACAAGAATCATTACCTATTGATATGAACCACGACCAAGGAATTTCCATACCTGAAGGTCCAATTACAAGGACGAGAGCTAAGAAGCTACAACAAACCTTATACAGTTATATTCAAGCTATGGTGAGCTCATCAAAGAAAATTCTAGAAGACGCTGGAGACCTCCCTTATATGTTGTGCAAAGTTGAGCTTCAAGAAAGAGATGAATTAAATGCACTTTAAGTTGGATTTAATGAACTCCACTGAATTTATGAAACTAGTCCAAGGATGAGTCAATAAGCACATTTTATTAATTGCATTATTTTATTATAGTTTAAATATTTGTTTGTCATATTTAAGCTAGTTTTAAATATAGGAGTTAAGGTTATATTGTAACCCACATACGTTACTATATTCCACCATTAACTAGCCATTTTAATATGGAGGTTATGGGTATTTTTCATTTACTAGCCCATTTAATTTGGGAGTTATATATCCCTAGGTTAAGGTTGTAAGGGCTATATAAAGCCTTCTTTTCTTTGATTAGACATCAGATTTTGGAATTAAGAATAGAATTTCTATTTTAGCTTTGTTGAGAGCTAAACTTTCTATGCAAATTCTTGTGTTTGGAACTTGCATGTAGAGTCATTCAAGTGGTATTGATTAAACCTCTTGTGGAGTGATTCGAATCACGAGTTTAGAAACGAGTTTTCTTTACTCTTGATCTTGATCATCAAGGTAATTCGTTCCATACTTTCCCTTGGGTTGATTTTCCATATCACCTATAGTACCCTTACCAATTATTTTACCGTTTTTGTTGTCACCAAAAGTTAGTAAGCCATCATCCTTCTTGAAAAGACTCACAAACATGGATTGGTTTTCCATCACGTGTCTTGAGCAACCACTCATTTTTCTTGGAGGCTTTCAAATAAACCTTGAGATATTCAAAATTGACGTTTTGGTACCCATACTTGGGTCTTAAAAAGTTAGTTTTCACAAATTTGGGAATCACGTTTCCATTCATATTAAAGGAATAATCTTTTTTGTCCAAACTTAACACGTTGAAAACAAACATCATACAAGAATTTATTTCTTAAAATAGGAAAATTATTTTCAAAACATTGTTAAATTTTATATTTTGAGAAATTTTCTTCTTGAATGAATATTTTGAGAAGTTTTCAATTTAAAGCACTTAAGTCTAATATGACCTTCAACACTAATGACACTAATGACATATAGACACAAATCTAGATTTATCATATTCAAATACAAATGTACATGTGTTAGGCTTAGACATAAAAGAGGGCATTTTAACGAATATTGTTTTAGAACTTGGAGGGTAGAACATTCATCAATATAACCTAATCCTCCTTTATCACCCTAAGTACCTGCTACAATTATTTTATCTAAGTTAATACCTATAGTTAACTTTTTAATAGACTCTTTATCGATAGCCTTACCTAGTTGTGCATAGTATTTATACATTTCTTTTGAGCAATTTAATTAATTTATCTTTTTCACAATAATCATGCTCAAGAAATTTGCCTTTATTAATTAATGCATTTTTTGTCATCATAATAAAATACATGCTTTTCACAAGGTATATCAAATTTTACAATATTATGATCATTTTTTTAAGCCATAAATTTCATTTAATAAAGACTTATTTTTAATTATTGATGCCTTATGTTTCTTTTGAAGCACAACATACTTTGAACCAAGTTTTTCTAAATCAAGTTGCATGTAACGACCCAAATTTTTTTACTTAATTTAAGGTTGCTAATGTATACATATCCTAAGCATTGAATGCAGAAGACTTCATTTAAATTTCATAAAACATAACGTAAAACACAGCCATGAAGTTACATATTTTGAAAACATCTTTAAAACGACACAACAAAAGACTAAATAAAATAAATAAGCGTTTAAATTAAAAACATTCTATTCTAGCCTAAGTCTAAGAAAATAAATACCACTACCATATGCATGTGTCATGGTCTCGAGTTGTGATACCTTCGTCAGCCATACAGGAACGCCTTGCCTTGACCTGAAAAATGTAGTAGCACATGGCTTGAGTATTTAAAGAAATACTCAATAAGTAACCCCACTATTGGGGTTAAATGCAAGAACATACGAATGCAATGATGAGACCTATCCTTTCAATTTATTTTCCTAGTTCATTTTCATTATCTGTAATGACCCAGATTCACCGCTACCAGATTTTATCCTCTTTGGGTTTACCTTTCGGGCTTCCCCTCAAGGCTTTAAATGATCGTACCCCTAGACATCATTTCATGCCTATAGACGAAATCGAAAAAGAAATAAGTAGAGGATGGGAATTTACAGAAAAAATTTCCATTCTGATTTGAGTACCTAGGGAGGGAAAGATCCTGAGATGTAGAACAAGAAAAGTCAGAAAGATGAGTGATATTGGCAGGCACATACTAAAAAAAATCATTCTTTGTTGGGTCAATACATCAGCGAAGCGTTTCCCGCTCTTTTTCATTCACATCATTCTTTTGCCAGTTGTTGTTGGAAACAGAGGGAGCTCTTCCTGTATTTAGGATTTTGTATATATGGGCATCCTTATTAGTTTAGTCCAAACTCAATGTTTTTTGTAACGACCCAGATCCACCCCGCTACTAGATATTATCCTCTTTGGGGTTTCCCTTTCGGGCTTCCCCTCGAGGCTTTAAAACGCATCTGCTAAACAAAATGATCGTACCCCTGCCTATTGTGATGAAATAGGGGTATCCCCAAATGCATGAGGTCCCACTATTTTTCCATTTTCATTATTTGTAATGACCTAGATCTACTACTAGTAGATATTGTCCTCTTTGGGCTTTCCCTTTTGAGCTTTCCCTCAAGGCTTTAAAACGTGTTTGCTAGGAGAACTTTTGGGCTTCCCCTCAAGGCATTAAAATGTGTCTACTAGGAGAAGGTTTACTACTAGTAGATATTGTCCTCTTTGGGCTTTCCCTTTTCGGCTTCCCCTCAAGGCTTTAAAACGTGTCTACTAGGAGAAGGTTTACTACTAGTAGATATTGTCCTCTTTGAGCTTTCCCTTTTGGGCTTCCCCTCAAGGCTTTAAAACGTGTCTACTAGGAGAAGGTTTACTACTAGTAGATATTGTCTTCTTTGGGCTTTCCCTTTTGGGCTTCCCCTCAAGGCTTTAAAACGTGTCTGCTAGGAGAAGGTTTGTCCTCTTTGGGCTTTCCCTCAAGGCTTTAAAACGTGTCTGCTAGGAGAAGGTTTACTACTAGTAGATATTGTCCTCTTTGGATATTGTCCTCTTTGGGCTTTAAAACGTGTTTGCTAGGAGAAGGTTTACTACTAGTAGATATTGTCCTCTTTGGGCTAGCTTCCCCTCAAGGCTTTAAAACGTGTCTGCTAGGAGAAGGTTTGTCCTCTTTGGGCTTTCCCTCAAGGCTTTAAAACGTGTCTGCTAGGAGAAGGTTTGTCCTCTTTGGGCTTTCCCTCAAGGCTTTAAAACGTGTCTGCTAGGAGAAGGTTTACTACTAGTAGATATTGTCCTCTTTGGGCTAAAACGTGTCTGCTAGGCTTTCCCTTTTGGGCTTCCCCTCAAGGTTTGAGGGCTTTCCCTTTTGGGCTTCCCTCAAGGCTTTAAAACGTGTCTGCTAGGAGAAGGTTTCCACACCCTTATAAAGGGTGTTTTGTTCTCCTCTCCAACCAATGTGGGACATCACAACCCACTCCCCCTTCGGGACCCAGCGTCCTTACTGGCACACCGTCTCGTGTCTATTCCCCTTTGGGGAATAGCGAGAAGGCTGGCACATCGTCTAGTGTCCGCGACTCTGATACCATTTGTGACGACCCACATCCACCGTTAGCAGATATTGTCCTCTTTAGGCTTTCTGGGCTTTCCCTTTCCGGCTTCCCCTCAAGACTTTAAAACGCATCTACTAGGAGAAGGTTTTGATACCTTTATAAATGGTGTTTTGTTCTCCTCCCTAACCAATGTGGGACATCACATTATCATTATTAAATATAACTCCGCTATCGTTTTGCATTTATATCATATCTTTTATCATTTTTCAGTTCTCTTATCATGCATAATTCTAATGGAGTTATATTTCATTTCATTTATCGTGATATCATGTCATTCATAACATGCTATATGCATACAATTTAGAAAACATAACATAATGCTCCATGCTTTTAACATGTCATTTCATAACATGCAATTCATACGACAATTACCTCAATGGTCACACAAAGCAATCTAAACATAACATATCACATCACAATATATCATATCATAAACATGTCATATCATAAACACTTCGTATTCATATCGTTCCCTAACTTATCAGAGCCTTAACGTTCTTATACCTATCACAGTCATATCGTTACATGAACGTACCTTAGTCATATCATTATAGGAACGTATCCTAACGCTATCGTTCTATCAATCTATCACAAACCTATCCCTTTATACCAATAACCTAACCGTATTCTTTCATCAATCTCTCATATCCATAACACTATGGTATGTAATCTAACCTTAATGTTTCATGAATGTATCTTACTCCTATCGTTACATTCCATTTTGTGCATCCTTCTCGTATCCTATCTCAAACGTATCATTGGAGACATTGTACCGTAATTATTATCATTCAATTCATATATTATAACATATACATAACATATAAGAAGCATATCGATCCACAAACAATTCACACATATCAATATATATGACATCTACAAAACTACAGGGCACGTGTCAACATCAATATAATTAAGTCGATAGTAAGGCCACTTACCTAATTAGCTTAGGCTGGTGTCACCAATTTATCCTTAAGAAAGTTCGATTTTGTCCCTTGTATCTAACTCAACCTATATGAACCATGACATCAATTTCAATTTCAATTTTCTAAATTTTATAATGGTCCTCATGGTGTTAATATAACACATGCGGAAGCAATTTGGATCTTAGGCACTTTTAGAACATCAATTATAGTAAATAACTAGCATGTTCATAAGTATTAAAACTTAATTAGTTTGAATACTAACCTTTTGTAGTTCAAATTTCTTTTTCCTCACGAACCGGTTTCGAACCACTACTAGTGTCTTCTCCACTATCCTCCGGCCTTAGAACGAGATTGTGGAATCCGGTGAGTGACTAAACTTGGGAGGGATTTGTATATATGAAAAGAGTGTTTGTGAGAGGTTTTTCTCAAGATTTTTCACCAACAAGAAGACCTTTCATGTATTATGATCACTCTATTTATAGAGTCATGTTTGCATGTTCATGCAAATTTGAGATCACCAAATTTTGACACTAAAAATTCCACTAAAATGTTTGGGATTATGTGGCAAGCATGCATCCCTTAGTTCCCTCCAAATCCCCGGTCTTCTGCCTACCCTTGCCTCCAGTGGTCTTTTCAGCATCAAAAAGAGTACTGAATCAAAGTCCCCCCCATACTAGCCATTTCTCTTTCATCTTACTACGCAGCTGTTTGAGATATAAAAACAGATCCCTACACCCATCTTCCGAAGCCGAGGCATAGACACAAGACAAATAGATCTCCGTTAGCAAGGAAAGCGCATACACCCTTGCCAAGCTAGAAATTCCCATCGTAAGACATAAAACCAGTAAAAGAGTCTGAGGCAAGAAAGGGTATATAGGTTGAGTTGAGTGAGCTCCTTTTATGTAGCTCTACCACATGAATAAGCAGATTTAGGAACCGTATAATGTTTGGGTGGATTTCCTTAGAAAAGTAGAATGGATAGGAAAGAAAAGATTCGAGACCGATAGGGAGAGGAACGAGACTATAGGCAAAGATGGAGTGTACGTTTTGATTGATACTTCACTGTGTGCTTGCCCTACCACAGAACGGAGACTGGCTCGAGGAAGGATTACCCTGATTGGATGGAATCCTCAATTCTCTACCCGATCTCTATGAGAGCTTTAAAGTAAGTCGGGGAGCTATCATACATAACATATGCTTTTGATACTCTGGCAAGAGGTCTTGAACTATCATTTCCAGTTGCCCCCAGGGGTCTGGTTGTCATTTGGGATGCCCTTTTCCTCCATCTATCTGGTAATGTACTCAGAGAAGCGTTAGGTTGCTTCTAGATGCTTTCTAAGTCACACTTGGTTACATCGACCTCGATCTTGTAACTATCTTTATTGTTAAACTCATTGCATATGTCCTCCCAAGTTTTCTGGAACTTGTCATCCAGGGAGAAGAGCGAAGCTGCGAGACCGAGTTTACAGAATAGGTTCAAGAATAAATCTTGAGGATTGACTTATGAATTACCTCTAACCCTAAATATCTAAAAAATAGCCTTAAAAGTAGACCGAAGATAGAATTTGATAATTCATGGTCCTTAAGAGTGAAAGAAGGATTTCATATGCTTTACCTTCTTCCTTCTCATCCAGCTGCTTTACCTCTCGAATAACTCACCATAACAAGAATTAAGTAAGGAGAAAGAGAAGAGACCATAAAATAGCTTTATCGAGTGAAATGAAAGAAGGAACAGGTTCAGGGGGAGTCAAAGTCAGAAGACGAAGACAAAGAAGGGAATAAAATAAAGAAAGCTAGCTCGGCAAGGGAAGGGAATACAGGGGAAGGGCCGAAGACATGAAACTGAGTTGGAGAGGTTAAGGCAATGGAATTGAAGCAGCTTTATCAAGTGAAAGAAGGGAAAGAACAAGAACTTCAGGGAATATCGGAAAAGAAAAGGAGTGAAAGAGTGAAAGCAAGCCAGTTCCTTACAACCCAGCAAGCAAGAGGAGCCCGAGTAGAAAGCCAGTTCCGTAAACTCTCTCTCTTGAATGAATAAGGAGTCGAGACTGATTGTTCCGTCAAATGAATAAGGAATGTTTACAGTTCAGGGAGAGTGAGTCAATGAATTAGTTTACCTTGCACTGAGTGAAAGAAGTAATAGTCCAGGAGAGTAGAAGATCAAGAATAAAACACACACCTATTTAACGAGTGAAAGAGTGAAAGAAGGTTAGTTCAGTCTGATTAATGTTTCTGAAAGCAGAATCAAAGGAAAGAAAAGAGATCGAGTGAAAGAAGTAGTTCAGTCGAATTAATCTTGAGGCTAGTTTACTGTTCAAGAATCAATAGGGGAAGGAGAAGAGAAAGAGGGTTCCGGTTCCGGTTCAGGAGTGACGAAGCCACGAGACCAAGTGAAAGAAGGAAAAGTCGCTCAGGAGTAAGTAGGGAGAAGGAATCTTGAGTGTTTACAGTTCGTGAGTGAAAGAAGGAAAAGTCGCTCAGGAGTAAGTAGGGAGAAGGAATCTTGAGTGTTTACAGTTCGTGAAAGGGATAGGTTCAGGAGTAAGTAGCGAGACCGAGTGGAAGGAATCTTGAGTGTTTACAGTTCGTGAAAGGGATAGGTTCAGGAGTAAGTAGCGAGACCGAGTGAAAGAAGGAAAAGTCGCTCAGGAGTAAGTAGGGAGAAGGAATCTTGAGTGTTTACAGTTCGGAGCTCAACAATGAGACCATACAGAATATGTGAAGGAGCTTCTCTTTCTTTTACAGTTCAATCTGGTGAAGGAAGAAAGAGACCTACATAAAGAAGGCACAAGTGATTGAGTTCAGAAGTTTCCCTTGTTTACAGTTCGTTAAACACCTTTCCATTTACCGAGCTCCTTCCTGTTCAGTCTAATTAATCTTGAGTTGAGTCTTGAGTTGAGTGTTGACAGTGAAAGAAGGGAAGGAAAGTAGTTCATGAGTTTACCTTGTTCAATCAGGTTCTGGAGCTTGACCTTGCTTTAGAGTGAAAGAATAGTTTTTGTTGAATAACTCATAATAACGAAATTTACCTCGTGTTTGAAGGGAGAGGTTCTTGAGTTTACAGTTCAAGAAGGTTCAGGTAGGAGAATTCATCTTTCTTACTTACAGGAGAGTAAGTGAAAGAAGGGAGAGTCAATCCTCAGCTGCTTTAAATTGATTGATGAATGACATAAGTGCCTTTAATGGAAGTACTTAAATGTAGAAAATTTACTGCCCTTAATACGAATTCAAAATAAAAAAAATAATAATAATAAATAAATAATATAGTAACAAGTATGAAAGTTATGAGGTGATTTAAAAGTATCGAGCCATAGATTGGATGAGGCATTACGATCATGGTCAAAATTTTAGAGGTATATGGAGAGGGACTACATTATGAGGTCGTCAAGATACCTTAAATTTAAAAAACCATGATTTAAAATTGACTTGGGTGGGAGATACACGAAGATTACAAAGGTGGGACATTGTCTCTAAATAAACTAGAAGTTTTGTGGTAATCTCCCTTGTACCCCACACGAATGCACTGCGGAAAGTTTAATATAAACAAATTGTTGTAGAAAATTATCGATGAATTTTTCCTAGCTGTCAACCTTGTTAAAAGGTATTACCATAGTTAAAATTTCAACACTATCTTCTTAAGTTGGATTTTTAAGTATCCCAAAGTTTTATGGCATCTAAGAATATCCATCATGCTTATATAATACTAATTGCACGTGTGGGTCGTGTGTAAGGAAGTACTACACATCCATAGTAGTCCGAGACTGGAGGTCACCCCTAGAGAATAAAGATAGGTCCCAAGAGCATGATTGCATATTTTTTGCAGTTGCATGACCCCCTATAGTGGTAGGATCTGAGCTGGTTCGAGTCACTAATGAGGTTGTCCAGAA